TAGGGAAGCAAATGGAATCAAAAGGAAGAGTGAATGATGTGTTTTGGAGGGAATTCGTGTGGGTCTGCATCATGAAGAAAGTGTGACTCAATTTTGATCAAAACTCAGCTAAATCGTGCGTTTCATGATGCTAATCACTTCTGGAAAGTTGCTAATCAAGTATAGAAACAAAAATGTGTGGAAAACTTGTGATTAGAAGCCAAAACAAAGATTTCAAAATCCTGACTTTGTGAAAAATTCAGTTTCAAGTTACCAAATTCAAATCCATGGCATTTCCAACTCAATGGGTCTTAGGGCATAATTCTTGATGCTTTGGAAAGATGAGGTTACAAGCTTTGCAATGGAAAAAGACTGGAATCAAATGGATGCTTGAGATGAAAGTTACATGGAGTCAAAGTTGAAGAAAAAGAGTTGACTTTCCATACTTAGAAATATTTCAAATTCTTCTTCAAAAATGACCTATAATCTTTTGTATCCAAACATGGCCTTCCACTTAGAATTTGCTCCTGACCAAAAAATATGGAATGAAGTAGATCTCTTTAATGACATTTTGAAATTTTAACCACTAAAAATCTCCAAAAAATGAGCAAGTTATGACTTGTTGAAGTTGGCCAAAAATCATGAAATGACCTATAATCTTTTGCATTCTTAAGGTAACCTCCATCCATTTTCTCACTTTGCATATAAAAGAAGGCAAAAAGTAAATGTCTTCAAGATCATCATGGAAAAACAATGGACTCAAGGTGATAAAAATTGACCAATTTATGACCATTTGAAGTCACATATGGAAAATTGGGGATTTATCTGGATGACTTGTAATCTTTCTTCTTCACCAAGTTCTTTCCACATGAAAACTCCTTGGAACTTTTGAAGTGATTTGTTGGTAACTCTTTGAAGAGAAAGATGTCTTTAGAATCACTCAAAAATACCAAAAGGTGAGCAAGATATGCTCCTTTGAAGTTAAAAACCCTAGCCTCTAGATCAAGAAAATGCTTTGAGGAACTTTGACAAGTTTGAACAAACTTCTTGTGCCAACATTCTTTCTTTGTGAATAGAAGTTGTTGAGGATTATGATGAGAACTCATAGCCACTAAAACCACTTCCATATCTTGAAATTTGAGAGAAATATGCTCTTGTGACTAATAGGAACAATACCTTGTCCAATCATGACAACTTCTTCCCTCAACCCCTTGTACTTTTGAATCAATTTTGATAACTTTGAAATATGTTGAACCAAAATAAGCCTCGTCATGCCATTTCTTCCAAAACAACTTCAATGGTGAGGTTTGAACTCCTCAAGCTATTTTGCTTTATTTTTCATGTATGGTGGATCTTGAATGCAATAGTAATAACTAAAAGCTATGTGGCTTAGTGGTAGGCTATTCCTCATGCAATCCATATAACTTGGGTTCGAAACCAGTCTGTATGAAAAACTTTGGATTTTTTTTCTAGAATGTCAAAGGCTGTATGAAAAACTTTGGATTTTTTTTCTAGAATGTCAAAGACCTCATAATTATATATCAAATTAAAAAAAATTCAAGTAACAACTAACAATCCAATATATATATATATATATATATATATATATATATATATATATATATATATATATATATATATATATATATATATATATATATATATATATATATATATATATATTCTTCAATCTCCTTCAACTTCTTGTACAACTCTTTTGTTGAATATTTCTTTTAATCTCTTCAGTTTTTTGACAAAAAAAACATAAATCAATATGTCATAAAACATAATTAATCTAAAACGAAATTATTAAAAATAAATTGAATAAATATTATACTTTTGTTATAAAATAAATTTGAAATTGATGATGGAATTTGGAATTGATTGTGAAAGAATGGAAGAATAGAGAAGAGGGAAAGAAGAAAACAGAAGAGAGAAAGAAGAAAAGAGAGAGGATGAAGAAACACAATGGTTTCTGGAAAGAGAAGGCACATGTTTATTATTCAATCAGTGATGTGAATATCACATCGCAACCTTGCCACGTGATATTCACGTTGCAACCTTATCACGTGATATTCGTATCGCAACACTCAATGTTATAAGTTTAATATTAGCCAATCAGCAACGTGCATATCACGTCACAACCTTGCCACATGATATTCATGTTGCAACCCCTCCAACAGTTATATTTTTATAGTCAACCTGTACGTTTCAGAATGGCATCTTGTCAAAGACAAGGTTTTTTCCGTCTAAAATAGTTGCGACGTGTTTAACACGTCACAACAATTTTTTTTTGAAATATTTAAACTTCCCTCTTCAAAAGGCCTGAAGCTTTAACATTTTTTTATTCTACTTTTTATGTTGTGACGTGTTTCCCACGTCGCAACATTTTTATATAAAAAATAATAATGACTGGCGCAGACCATGCCTTACTTTTATTATTTAAATTATAAAATAATTTAGTGACGTGATTATCACGCCGCAACTACTAAATTTTAGTGACATGATAATCACGTCACTAAATCACGTCGCTGGGGAGTATATTTCTTGTAGTGCTAAGATTTAACCTCAAACTCTGATAATCAAAAGTGAACAAAGTAAAATGACCTTTCAACCACTAGAAAGATTGAAGTATTACTGTTTTACCAATAGAACTCAAAGAATGATGAATGTTATGAAAGACTCGTTGATTACGCACTTTCCAAATGCTCCACTTAGCTGTTACCCAAATGATGTGAAAAACAATCCACGCTGAATTTGACCACCCGCCCAAAGCCACAAAATGGTCGTGATGCTCCTGAAGATGGCCATGAGAAACCGATGAAAAACCTAACCAACCCGATATGACCAACCAAATTTTACCATAGAAACCACACCGCATATAAATATAGTCCCTGTCCTCAATATGACCACACTTCGTTGAACAAATATGCTCCCCAACTCTAATAATATGACGACTTACCAAATTATCCTTCGTCGGTAATCTATTACAATATGGGTTCCAAGCAAAAAGACTAACCTTTAGTGGCACCGATTTAGACCACAAAGAGTGAGATTCTCCAAGATGACCAGGCTCGGTCGAATGCGTCAAAAACTGATAAACATTGCTCACAATCTACCACTTTAAAGAATATAGTCTCCACACCCAAGTATCATCAATTGATTCTTGCAAAATAATAGAATCCGCCAACCGAATACACCCCCAACCAACTCTTCCTCCCAAGAAAGCAACCCCATATGCTAACTCCAAGCCTCTCCATGCTCTCCTCACCCTAAAGCAAATATCTCCGCCACTGTAGCACCCTTATGCTAAGGTAACTCAGAGAGCCTACAAAATCTAGACATTAAAACCCCTTTCTCCAACCAAGGATCCCTCCATAACATGGAGTTTACCCCATTACCTACTACTCTCTCAATATTATCGAGCAACCCACCTCCTTTACTGAACCTACTCGCGTTCATCCACCAGCTAGATCCTCCTTCTAACCCAAACTTCACCCCCTTCCTCAATATAGCGATGAGATAAAACTCTATACCAAATTCTTCCTATCTCCTCCAACATCCTCCACCTCCATTTCCCCAATAAAGCCTCATTAAACTCCCTCAATCTTCTCACCCCAACCCTCTGTTCTCCTTACTCTTACAAATTGTATTCTAATCAATCCACGTTATTTTATTATTACCTTCCCTACTCCCTCCCCTAAATTCATTAAATAAAGAGTCAAGGGAAGATATGATACCTGTGGGAGCCTTGAAAAACAAAAGTAAATAATCCGAGATAGAGGACAAAATAGACTTCAATAGAACCAAATGAACCCCCAAAGATAGATTACAGGGAAAACCCATATACACAAAATGAATCACTCCCAGCTTAAAGTTTAACACCAACGCTGTCTCCATCAACCAAGAACTTGAAATTTTCACACCAACCAACATGCACTTATTAAAATTAACTTTTAAAATTGAAATAGATTCAAACAACAGCAACACTACTTTCAGCACTGTGACATTCACTCAACTCTTGGATCCCATCAACAAAGTGTCATCCACAAACTGAAGATAAGTAATTGGAAAACCAATGCTAGAGGCCATGATATACCATGTGAATAAAACCCCTCAACAATAGCATTAATCAACACATTGAAACCCTCTACAACGATTAAAAAGAGAAAATGAGATAACATATCCCCTTGACGGAAGCCTCTCTCCAACCTAAATGCATCTGTTGGACTCTCGTTCACTAAAACTGACATTGACGCTATCGAAACACATTAAGTAATCCATTTCACCCAAAAAGTAGGGAATTTAATTCTAACCATCACCCTTTTCAAATATCGTAAATCCACAGAATCATAAGCTTTCTCAATATCTACTTTAAATAACAATAACTCTTTCTTATTCTTCCGAGCATCATCCACCACCTCATTATCAATAAGAATGCCATCAAGGATTTGTCTATAAGAAATAAAAGCAGATTAAGTATCTGAGATCAACCCTCAAATTACATTTAAAAAACTGTTATCCATAACCTTTGTTAATACCTTGTGAAGACACCTAACCAACGCAATAGGAAAAAAATTCGCCACCCGCTCAAGACTATCAACTTTAGGTATCATAGTAATAAACGTACTATTAGTTCCTTTTTAAGCTTTCAATTGCGATGAAACTCCATCACAAATATCAATAAATCATCTTTCAAGATATGCCATAATTCTTTTATAAAACCAAAACTCACTCCACATGGTGAAGTTGGCATTTTGACTATTTTTAAAAAGTCACAATTCTGGCCAATCATAAATGTCCTTCAAACCCTAGAATGCCACATAGGACCAACTTACTATGTAAATTCATATTTTTTTTAATATTTCCATCTAGTCCATACATATTTGAAACTAAACCCCTAACATATTAATTATTTTTTAGCATCGAATTATCGTTTTTCTAAAACCAAAATTAATCAAATTTTTTTAAGATAAATTCAACTTCTTCAACAAGTTCATCTTCTTTCTCCAACCTAATTAATGAATTTTTTTCACGATAACTTCAACTTCTTCAACAAGTTCATATTATTTTTGCAGTCACCAACAAGTTCGTCTTCTTTCTCCAACCAACAACAACTTCATATTTTTTACTATTTACATTCATATTCTTCTTTCACAACATTGTTCAACAAGCGAACCTTCAATATTATCCCATACAGTCGCTTTGCTTACAAAGTTCGTATTGATAGCCAATTTGCTAAGGTATTAAGGTTTAATATTTAGTTATTTCAATTTCTTATATGGTTGATATTGTAATTTGTAATTGGATTAAGATTTCATTTCAATTTGGGAATTAGGTTTTATGATTGTTGTCATTGAATTAAGTTACTCAAATATGTAGGTTAAGATTTCATTTCAATTTAGGAATTAGGTTTTATGATTGATGTCATTGGATTAAGTTACTGAATATGTAGGTGAAGATTTCATTTGAAATTGGGAATTAGTTTTTATGATTGATGTCATTGTCTTCATTTCAATTTAGGAATTAGGTTTTATGATTGATTTCATTTCAATGATTTCATTGCAATTTGGGAATTAGGTTTTATGATTAGTGTTGGCTTATGTTGTGTTATATATTGGCCAATTTTAGATGGACAACAACGGAGAGTTTGTTAGGGTTGATTTGAACAATGCTTAAACTGATTCATCTGATGCTTAATATAGTTGTGATAACGATGCTAATGATGATGTACAACAAAGTTCAAATGATGAAGATGATTATGATAATGACAATGATGAGGAATCAGTTGGAATGGAGTTGTCAAATAACCAAGCAGTTGTAGGTGATAGATTGGTGATAATAAATTCCATTACTTCAGATGAAATTCGTGCTATGAAATTTGGAAATGTGAGTGAAGCTTATGAGTTTTATTATAGGTATGGAAAATGTAAAGGTTTTGCAATTAGGAAAATTCATGTTAGGCGAAGAGGGCTCGAAGGTAGTGAAATAGTAGTAATGAGGCAATTTGTATGACACAAACATGAATTAAGAGACAAGAAGCACTTAGATAGGGTAGATAGGAAAAGAGATCACCGACGTCTGACCCGTGCTGAATGTGCAGCTAGGTTTCGCGTGCATTACAAAGCCAAAAAGGGAAAATATATAGTCTTAATTTTGTAAGAGGCTCATAACCATGAATTAACACCATCAAAATTTGTGCATTTACACCCCATATATCGTCAAATTCCTGAAACAGATAGAGCTCAAATTGATGGTCTTCAATCACAGGGAATAGAACGTGTCATATAATGGGGTACATGGTTGCTCAAAAGGGTGGATATAATGATGTTGGTTTTACAAAGAAAGATCGGTATAATTATTCTGATAAAAAATGTGTATTGTTATTAAGGATGGTGATGTTGTTGTTGCTTTAAATTATCTAGAAGTGAAATCATCTACGAATCCTATGTATATGCAGAATATTCTGTCAATAATGATGGAAGATTAAAGTCATTTTTTTGGGCAGGCGACAGTAGTAGATTAGACTATTTCTGTTTTGGCGATGTTCTTTCGTTTGACACAACTTACAAGAAGAACAAATACAATTATTTGTTGGTTATATTTTCTAGTTGCAACCATCATTCATAGACTGTTATATTCGGTGTCGCATTGGTGTTAGATGAAACAACAAAGACAAATAAGTGGTTATTTAGGTGTTTCTTAGAGTGCATGGAAAATATATATCCAAAAGTGTACCGGCTAAAAAAATTTGCGAAGTCGCCACCACAAATTTTTGTCCTAAGGATGAGAAAATAACGAATAACCCTAAAGTTTTAGAGATTCTATATTCGTGAGTTGGTTAGACAAAGGGGAGGTGTTAGGCATCCTTCATCTCCCTTGTTCTCAAGGGGTTCCACATTTAGATTTAATTTTTTAGTTATGGGACCCGCCTTGGTTTTAACCGCATACCTACGTATCTCCTTGCGAAGAATCAGAGTCCAATTTTGTAGTTCGTATTGTTTGGTTGATGTTTTTTTATAGGATTGTATAGAAATGGTTTTGAATTATCCTTGAACCTTGTCTGGGTTTCGAAAAGGGTGATCCTAGACGCAATTTGCAGTTAATTTTGATAGCAATTCTCCTTAATCTTTTTTCTAAAAATATCTTGATTTTTGTTATGTTAGTGAAAAAATATTTTTGTTGTTGGTTATTTATTTTAAGTTAATGATTGATTAAATAGTTGATCTTTATCAAAAATTATTTCGCTCGAGGCGAAGAAATTGACTTGGTCGATAAGGATTCGATCCTTATTAGAATTTGATCGCTCTAGGCGAAGGAATTGACCTTGGTTTGTTTTGAGCGATAGCGTTTGATTATCGCTTTTAGCAAAAACTAAGTCCGCGTGAAATTTAATATTTTGATGTTGAACAGTTAATTGATAAGGTGTTTAGTCAACCAAAGAATATGGTGGATGTGTATACACCAATCCTGTTATTTGTAACATATTTGAATTAATTTAATTTAAAAAAATATTTGATTTATATATAAAGTTTGGCGAATGGCGAATGTTTGAATTAGTCAAGAAAGTGCAAGTGTGTACAAACTCTACTTGATGGAATCACATAAATAAAGAAGCAAATTTTTGTATTATTGTATTGCTAAGTGAAATAAAATTAATTAATCTAATAATAAAATAAATAATTACTCAACTAAATTAAATTAATAGCAAGTCAATTAGAAAAACTAAATTACTTTCTAAATCCCTATGATAATTACTAAAAGAAACATAGGAGTGCATTCTTAAAAGGCAAGAGTATAATTTTAGTAAAAGAATAGAAATAAAAGCCCAAGCCCAATACAACCCTAATTTCCTAATTAATTAATAATAATAATAGTAAAAAAATTGAAAAAAAAAAGAATCAGGCTGTATGATACATATGGGAGACGCATGATAAGTGGTATTGCAGAGTTTTGTTGATTTTTCCCAAACAATACTACAATCATTCAAACGGCGGCACATGACAGTGAGAAAAATTTTATAAAAAAAAATCAATAACACAGATATACACTCACGTTTGAAGAGATAAAGGTGTGAGAATCAAACACCAACCTCTTTTTCCCTTTCTCTCTCCATGATAACATCTTTCAGAAAACCCAATTTTCTTTCTCCCATCACCTAAATTCCATGTGTCTTCATCTTCTTTCTTTCCCAAACAAAGTCTCTTCCCAACTCACAAATTCAAGACCAACAAAAATAGATAAAAGAAAAAAATGATGAGTACCTGAGATCTTCGATGGAGCTTGGCGGTTGTCGGGCTTGGTGATGGCAAACGTGTGTGGTTGCCGTTTGGAGGCGACGGGTTGTGCACAAAGGTATTGCACGATGGAGGAACGGAATCGCGATTCCGCGGTTGTTAAAGGTGGATTGCAATCTGAAGGCGACGTTTGTGTGACGGCGGCTGATCAGCGAATTTGCGTTGGATCCAGTCATGGTTGTTGTGCCATGGAAAGGAAGTGCCTGGAATTGGGAGTGATGGTTGATATGTAAATAATGTGTGAAATTGTAGATCAAAGTTGTGATACGGTGGCAGAATCGACTGTTTAATACTGGTTTGCATTTTTCATTTTTTATTCGTAAAATACTGCGGTAAGTAAGAGTCGTCACCGACTTTTATTTCTTTTTTCGAGATGTTCTGAGTACGGGGTAAATTATAGAAAGGAAAGGTGTTAGCACCCTTTCTATGGTTTTCCATAGGCTCTTAGGTACTTGCTTATTTTTAAATTGCTTGTGTTTGTGTGCTTTGTTTTGAAAAGTTTTACTTTGTGATAACCCTGTTAGAACAAGCACAAAACCTTGTATGTGAATCAATGGAGATGATGGATAATTTTGGTGAAATTAGAGGATTGAGGAAGATCAAGTTTAGAGAGAATATAGATTAATTGAGAGGGTAAAAAATCATATGGCATTAATTCCATTCAACATGTTACAAAATGTATATATAGTGCCTGCTAACACTAAACAAAGTAACAAAACAGGGTTTCCTGCAGCATACTGGCAGCTTTTCCAAAATAGCTTCTCAAATAAGCTATTCTCCAAAAACACTTCAAAACCAATTACACTGCATTTGACTTATTCTAATCATTCAACACACCACCTTAAGTCAAATGCTCAATGTTCTTCATGCCCAACCTCACCACGAGTCGCTTGAAAACATCATTCGTAACCGCTTTCGTCAACAAGTCCGCGACTTGTTCTTCACTTCTGCGGTAGCTCAAACGTAACTGTCCAGAACTTACTAAATCTCTCAAGTAATGAAATATCATCTCAATATGCTTGCTCCTCCCATGTGCTATGGGATTCTTAGCAAGGTTGATGGCTGAAACATTGTCCACCAACAGCAGAACAGCTCCTCTCGTGTTGTTGTCCAGCTCACGCAGCAGGTTCACTAGCCACACAGCTTGGCATGCACATAACGAAGCTGCGATATACTCCGCCTCACAAGAAGAGAGAGCAACCACCGACTCCTTTTTAGAACACCAAGAGATTGGTGCTCCTCCGAACATAAAAACATAACCGGCCGTTGATTTCCGATCGTCCTTATCTCCGCACCAATTGGAGTCGGTGTATCCGAGTAATTCGCAACTTTTGCCCATGTCACTTGCAGGAAATAAAATCCCACAGCCAAGAGTACCTTTCACATATCTAAGGATCCTCTTAACCGCTGCCAAGTGTGATACCTTCGGCCTCTCCATGAATCTACTTGCAATACCGACACTAAACGCTAAATCTGGCCGCGTATTGCACAAGTAACGCAATGATCCTATCAATCTCCGGTATTGAGTAGGATCCACATCTTGCTCATCTTCACTCTTGGACAGCTGTAAACGTGCCTCGGCTGGTGTTGTGGCAACATTACAATGCTCCATATCACACCTCTTCAAAATCTCCATTGCATACCTTCTTTGATGCATGAGCAGTCCCAACTTTGTTTTTTGGAACTCTATGCCTAAGAAGTATTTCATAGAGCCAAGATCACTCATTTCAAACTCCCCCATAAGCTCTTCTTTGAACTTTGAAATGTACTTTTCACAACTGCCCGTAATCAACAAATCGTCCACATAAAGACAAAGTATGATTACTCCTTTGCTTTTATCCGACTTCACATACACACCGTGTTCGGATACGCACTTCTTGAAACCAATGTTGATAAGAAAAACATCTATGCGTTTGTTCCAAGCTCTTGGAGCTTGTTTCAAACCATAGAGTGCCTTCCTTAATTTGTAGACCCTTTCCTCTTGATTTTGTATCACAAAACCAGGTGACTGTCCAACATACACTTCCTCATCCAATGGACCATTCAAAAACGCCGATTTGACGTCCATTTGATATAACGACCAGCTGTTGTTATTTGCAATCGCAACAACTAACCGGATGGTTTCATGCCTTGCAACCGGTGCGAATACCTCATCAAAGTCTATGCCTTCTTTTTGCAAAAATCCCTTTGCTACCAATCGAGCCTTATGCTTGATTATCTCGCCTTTCGGATTTGCTTTTACTTTGTAAACCCATTTCACACCAATCGCCTTTTTACCTTTCGGTAAATCAACCAACACCCAAGTATTGTTCTTCTCAATCGATTTCAACTCTTCCTTCATTACACACATCCATTTTGGATCGCTTAATGCCTCCTCTGTATTTACCGGTTCAGATTCGGCCATTAAAGCGAAATGAATAAGATCACCATCATTGTTGATCTCACTATCTCGGAACAGTTCACAATCTCGGAGTCTTTGAGGCATACCTTTATGCCTTGTTGGTCTACCCTCATTCACAACATTGTTTTCAGCTGCTGTAGGTGCTGGTACAGCGGCATCAGACAACTCTGGATCAGAGATTTCAAAAAACTGCTGCTGCTGATTTTCTGCTGTTGTTTCTGCACTTTTGATTTCATCAAAAGTCACGTCCCGGCTTATCACGATCTTCCGATTCTTCTCATCAAACAGCTTGTAACCACCAGTAGAGTGATATCCAACAAATATCAACTTCTCACCTTTATCATCCAACTTCTTTCTAAGTTGATTTGGTACATGACGATATGCAATCGATCCAAAAACACGCAAATGAACCACACTCGGTTTGAAACCACTCCAAACCTCTTCCGGTGTGATTTTCTCCAGCTTCTTAGTAGGACACCTATTCAACAAGTAGGTGGCTGTAGATACGGCCTCACCCCACAATTCTTTAGGTAACTTCTTCCCACAAAGCATGCTACGCACCATGTTCATTATTGTACGATTTTTCCTCTCGGAAGCCCCGTTTTGTTGAGGCGTATATGGAGGCACCACCTCACGCACAATACCCTCAAGATCACAAAACATCCCAAATTCACTAGAGGTATATTCACCTCCACCATCTGTTTTGAGAATTTTGAGCTTCCGGCCGCTTTGACGCTCCACCATGGATTTGAAACTCTTGAACACTCCAAATACCTCATCCTTTCTCTTGATAAGATAAGTCCAAAGCTTCCTACTAAAATCGTCAATAAACGTAACAAAATATCGATTGCCGCCATAAGTCTCTACTTGCATCGGTCCACAAACATCAGAATACACCACCTCAAGTAAGCCTTTGGTTCTTCGACCCGCATCCTTGCTAAACACATTCTTGTGTTGCTTACTCTTCACACATTCCTCACATAATTCTGTCGGAACACTAATATGTGGCAGCCCCGTTACCATTCCACTTTGTTGCAACATCTTAAGATCCCTAAAGTTAAGGTGACCAAGACGGTAATGCCATAGCCACTCCTCTCTACTTGCCGCGGTAGCTAAACAACGATGCTCCATAACCTTTAACTCAACCTTAAAAGTTCTGTTGGCAGCCATCGGTGCTTTTAGAATCAACACACCATTTGAATCTAAAACGCGTAACATCTTATTCTCCAATCGAATTAAGTACCCTCTTTCAAGCAATTGGCCAATGCTTAAAAGATTTCACTTAATTCCCGGTATGTACAAGACATCTTTGATCCTAGAGTGTCCACCATTCTTTCTTCCGATCAAAACATCTCCTACCCCTTCGGCGCTTAAAGTAGTGTCGTCGGCAAACTTGACTTTACTCTTTGTCGCTTGATTGATTTGCACAAACCAATCCTTTCGACCCGTCATATGTGTTGAACAACCGGAATCCAAGTACCATTCATCTTTAATTTGGACTCCCTCACGCACGGTAACTAATGCATTTCGATCCGAACACATTTTTTCGCCACTTTCCAAAACAGTACAGCTGCTGTCCCACACACTATCATCACAGTAGCTGCTGCCCGGAACATCAACAATGCCATAATTCTCTTCCGTAATCATCACAAGAAGGGTATCTTCATCATCTACCTCTTCCCTAGCAACCTTCGCCTCATCCGCATCCTTTTCCTTGCGTTTTGAGCGACATTCTTTCGCAAAATGCCCAAGCTTTTGACAATTATAACACTTCACAGAACTTTTGTCAAACGGTTTGTGGGCGCTTTGATTACCATCTTTGGAGCTTCCTTCACCCTTTGAATTTTGTGGATCTTTTCCACCAAAATTCTTCTTATTTTTTGAATTCCACTTCCCTTTCGATCTCTTGTTCTTCTCATGTAAACGCGCTTGCAAAGCGATCTCCGCTTTGGCTTTGTCGGCACTTCTCTCATCCATCCTTTGTTCATGCGCCTCTAACGAACTTTGCAACTCATCTTTACTCAAAGTTGTTAGATCCTTTGACTCCTCAATAGCCACAACAATGTTATCGAAACGTGATGTTAACGAACGCAACACTTTCAATACAACATTCTGCTCGAGGATCGTTTCGCCACATGACTTGATTTGGTTGACTAACCGGGTAATGCGCGTGATGTAATCGTTGATCGTTTCTTTGTCCTCCATTTGCGTTAACTCGAATTGACGTTTGTAAGTTTGTAACCTTACCACCTTCGCTTTGACGGCACCGGCATACGCTTTCTCCAAGATTTCCCATGCTTGTTTTGCGGATTCACAATCACCAACCTTCTCGAAATTGTCGTTATCAACACACGAATGAATCAAGAATAGAGCTTTGTAATCCTTCTTCTTTTCTTCCTTGTGTGTAGCCCTACGAGCATCGGTAGCATCTGCCTCTAATGGTGTAACTCCATTGATGACGATCTCAAGAACCTCTTGATAACCAAACAGAACCTTCATTTGTTTCGCCCATTTGTCGTAGTTCTTCGAATCAAGAATTGGGAGATTGGTGGGAATTCGATCATTGGAAACGGTAGCCATTGTTGGTGTTGCAGCGGATTGGGATCAATAACCAATGCTCTTGATGCCAAATGTTAGAACAAGCACAAAACCTTGTATGTGAATCAATGGAGATGATGGATAATTTTGGTGAAATTAGAGGATTGGGGAAGATCAAGTTTAGAGAGAATAGAGATTAATTGAGAGGGTAAAAAATCATATGGCATTAATTCCATT